GCTGGGCCTCACTGATCTGTGCCTTCAGCTCAGCTCCAGAACTGACCTGCACGTGTCAGGTTTTTCTCCTGATTTTTTTTCTCCTATTACACACAGCCTTTCTGTTCTGCCATTAAAGCTAGGAGTTTGGCCCCTCTGGGTTGGTGTATTCCTGAGGAGCCCTAGAACAAGTTTTACATATGCCTGTTAGTGCTGCTATCTTACACTGAGAGCTGCTTTCTGCCCTGTAAGGTTGTGATTCAGGTTTGCAGACTGAACACAAGTTGCTAGGGTGGATCCTTGCAGGAAACATGAAATAAGCTCCATCTCTTCTCCTTCTCAACGTTCTGCCTTTCTGCTTTCTCCAGGGCACTGCAGGAGAGCTATCTAACGAGCACAGGTAACTCACAGAGCAGCAGCCCTAGCGAGCCTTCAAGCTTTGAGAAGGACTTGCAGCTTGCCATGGAGCTGTCTGTCCGCGAGCAGGAGGAGCGCGAGAGGCAGCGCCGTGAGGAGGAAGATGCAGAGCTGCAGCAAGTTCTACAGCTTTCTCTTGTGGAAAAATAACTCTTGATAATAAGGGTGACCAAATCCATGCGAAGCTGGAGGCTTTCAGAGCTCTCAGGCTGGAGATCGCTCCTGGATTGCTGAAGTAAACATTTCACCTGCCTTCTTCATCGTCGCTGTAATATCAGCTACAACAGCTGATGGTTTTTAAATTGTCTTTTATTATTTGAGGGAGATTCAGTGACTGGGCATTCTGTGTTTGGCTGCCCAGCTGTGCAGCCTAAGCTGTGACATTCTTTTACCTGAACACGTTTATTGAAGAGCAGGTGGAAGGCTTGCTTGGCACCAGGCCTGAGGGTTGCGTTGAACTGTAAAAAACCTGATTTATGAGGAGTTCAGAAGGGAAACTTCATTACTTACCAAAGAAATACTCATCTGCATAGTCACTTGGGAATAATTCAAAGCCATTGTCTCTGTTCCTTCCAGTCCCTACGTGGAAGGTATCTCTATGCATTCACATACGTACAGTAGTTTCCGTGCTGACAGATGCTCTGTTGGTGTTGTTTATACATGATTATTTCTTCTCCAGTCACTGAGACTTTTATCATATGCTCCTGCTTACAAGGGATAATTTTATACTTGAACAGCTAATCCAAGCTTGAGATTAAACTAGTGCTTTCTGAGATCAGACAAACCAAGCAGCCAGTACAATTTTAGCTCCTCAAGTGGGACCATCCTCCTAAAGTAGCACTTTCTGCAGTGATTCAACACCAGCTCGTTCCCATAGTCAGAGGGCAGCAAGGACGTAAGCAATAGATAAAGGTGCTTCTTGAGATCACTGTGTGTGTGCATGTGGGTGCTGCTGAATTCAAACAGGAGAAAAGTCAGTTGAGATTTTAATGTGTACTTATTGCAAGATGAGTTTTAATTCTGTCACCCGAGAGGGAAAATGCCTGTTGCTTTTTAAAATTCAAACGCTTATCCTTCATGTGAACACATACTTTTTTATCTGAATCTTTTTATTGACTTTTAAACCAAACCAAGATGACTGCCCTCCCTCAAATGCTATCGTTACAATTCAGAAATAGGTTTTAACAGCTTTCCTCAGGTCTTTCCTCCTACAGTAGAGTTGTAGCTATTCTACTTGCACTCCTGTCAGTGTTTACAGTACTGCCCTGTGACTCTCGAGTGCACTCCACATGTACACAAGGATGTACGCCCACAGGGAGGCCTTACAGCAGTCGAACATCAGCAGTATTGCTCAGTCCCTGCTCACAGTGCTGTGAGAACCTATGGTACGTATTGCTGTCATCTTGCTGCCTAACCCTGCACTTCTCCTCGAGCAAACCAGGGTGGCTCTGTGCAACCAAATGTTAACTCCTTTCAAGTCATTATGGCCCGACCAGAGAGATGGGTGGTAGCTTAGAACTTCATCTTTAAACCAATAATCCATATTTCTTTAGGCAATTAAAATTCACTGTCTATTGTATCATGCTTAACCTTGCAGCTTGTAACCCTCCATAGCTTCCTGGTGGCTGCAGGAATGGGGAATGCAACTCTTTGCATGGAGGCAGTGGGGCTGTGTTGGAACTGCATCTTTCTTTGAAAAGAGGATTACTGTGACTTTCTGGGTTGCAGAAAAGGGAATAGGCCTTGTGTTCAGCTCTTGACGACATTATGGGTTAAAAGATAAAGTTGTGTTGGTTTTGTTTGTTGTTTTATTTTTCCTCCAGCGGAAATAAAGAGTGCTGTTACCTTTGTAAGACTGCTCTGTGACTTTGCTTTTTGCTAGTGAGCATCTCCAAGGTGAGAAGGAAAAAATAAAATGGGGATCAGTGAACTGTCCTCAGCAAATTAAAAGCAGGCTGGTGTTGAGGCTTCAGTGCTCTTGGTCAGTTCTGTATGCACCTTCTTGTGAGTAACAGATGGAAAAGAGCAGGAGTGAGTTGCACTGTTATGTTCATGTTAACACTGCTGTCCAAAAATTAAGCCTGTCAATTTTGGTTCCCTGAACAGCCTTTGAGGTTATGTGGGAAAGCAGAACCTCGGTCACCAAGAGCTGCATCTGCGTTCTGAACCTACGAGTAACTTCTGCACAGCAGCACCTAAAGGTCTGTAAGCTGTGGCTCCATTTCTGTGCTGTGTGGCAGTGAGACAAAGCGGGGCTGTTGTTCTGGGGTTGGGTTATGTTCCATGGTAACTCACAATGCGCTTCATTTGGAAATCCTTTTGCTCGTTCTCCTCCCTTGTCCTGCAAGCAGTAAGCTCGCAGCTGGGATGTGGGACTGCTACAGCTGAACGTCCATGAATAAATAAAGGAGTCCTGCAGTGTTTACTTCTCTTTTATTCGCACAGAGAGACAGAGCAGGGGCGAAGAATGAATGCAAACAATGCTGCTGCAGGGAGCTCAGCTCAGAGCTGCACCCACTAACAAGCACACAGCTATGGGCACAGTGTTACATGGAACAAAGGATGCAAAAATCAGCGAGCCAGAGCTCTGCAACTATGGAGAAGATCCGAAAGAAACATCCTGCCGTTAGCTTGCTCCCTCATGTGTGCTTCGTTGAGAATGGAAACGAGGTCTGTTCCAGGCCAGGCTCATTTACTGATGCACAGAGCAGCAGCAAAGGGAACCCTCAGCTCCAGGAGTTCTCCCTGCCCCTAACAGAGCAGGACCAGCTGGCTGCAGTGCTTGCAGAGCTGACCACCACCTTTACTCCGGAGGTACGGTTTTAAAAATCTAAAATAAATTACTACCCCTGACCCCTATGTTAAATACCAAAGTAATATTTATAAGCAAAAATCCAGTTACTACTCCCGGCAGTGCAAAACAAAAAAAGAATAGCAGCATCCGTACACACGTGTGACTTCAGTGTAAACCCTTGAATTTGTTACCAAAAGCTGCACGACGTGGATCCGGCTGTAGCTCCACCGCAGAGCTCCCAGAGGTGCTGGGGCTGGGACGCGGTCCTCGTCCGCGGCTGCTCCCCGTGGCTCCGGTGCTCAGCGCTGGGGCTGGGACCGCCATCACTGCAAAGCGGATGCGGTGATGCCGAGCGGAACCCACGCGGGGCGGCTCCGGGTGTCCGTGCGGGTCCGTGCGGGTGACGGCGATGTCCTCGAGCCGCGGGACGCGGCCACTACCGCCGGCGGACGGGTTTGTAGACGCAGACGGCCACGAGGACGATGGTGAGCAGCAGGGCGCTGAGGATGCTGCCCAGCAGCACTGCGAGGGAGGAGGCCGACAGATCAAGTCCCCGCCGCAGGGCACAAAGCGAAGCCGTCCCCTCCCGCCCCCCCGCTCCTTACCCAGGTTCTGTTTCTGCAGCACGGCGTAGGACCGGCTGCGCTCCGCCGGGGTCAGTGCCGCCAGCACGGCCAGCGCCCAGCCCCGCAGCGACATCTCGGCTCGGCTCGGCTCGGCTCGGCTCGGCTCGGCTCGGCTCGGCTCGGCTCGGCTCGGCTCTTCAGCACGGCGAAGAGCGGCGCTTCCTCTTCCTGCCGCCCGCCCCGCCCCGCCAGCGTCAGCGCCGCGCCCCATCGCTGTGCGCCGGCGGATCGCGCGTTTCCCCTGCCTCAAATTCTGCCCGTCTGTGTGTTTCTCGAGTTCTCCCCCATCTCCGTGTCGCACACGTCCCCGCGTTCTCTCCGTTCCCTTGTTCTTCCCACTTCCGCGTGTCTCATAGAGTCATAGAATGGTTTGGGTTAGAAGGGACCGCAAAGCCCCCCCAGCCCTGCCGTGTGCTGGCTGCCCCCAGCTCATCGCTTCGGGCGCCTCCAGGGATGGGGCACCACAGCTCTGGGCAGCACTGCCAGGATCTTACTGCCCGCTGAGTGAGGAATTGCTTCCTCACATCCAACCTCAATCTCCCATCTTTTAGTTTTATAGCTGTTCCCCCTTGTCCTATCACTATCAGATATCACTATCTCCTATCCCTATATGTCCCCCATCCCTGTGTCACCCCCAAACTCATGTTCTCCCCACCCCGCTGTTGTCCCCATCTCTATGTGCCCCCTACCCCTGTGTTCTTCCAGCCCTCTGTTTGCCCCCAGCTCTTGGCTGCACCCTCCAGTTCTGTTCTGTTCTGTGTTAGCTGCTGTGGGGACAGGAGGGCTGACAGCAGTTGATGAGGGCACATGGAGCCAGCGGCATGGTGACACCACAGGCATCCCTCAGCCAGACAAGGTGACAGTGACCATGGGGACATTGCTATACGTTGGGGTTCTGCTTTCACCTCAACGGGGAGCATGGGGGAAATGAACCTCACAAAGCCAAAAAACACACAGCCTGCTCACAGCCGGGGCTTTGTTTTCTCTTTGAAAGGGGACCAACACATGGAGCAGCGATGCAGCGCCCGCACACTGCACTGCAGGAGGCACCGTGGTCACTGCATGCTTACAACGCCTGCAGCTGTGGGGCCAGTCAGCAGAGAGGATGGTGGAAGTGACAGCCTTCTGCCTGCCTGATGGCGTTACGTGGGAACAGGGAGCAGCCTCTGCATCCCCTCATCGTGCTACAGGACCGGCTCCATGCCCACCACCTCTGCCTGGGGGTCTCGCACTGTTTTCTCCGGCCGAATGCAGACAGCGAGGCGCTGAAGCAGGAAGAGAAAAGCAATGGGTTCCATTCCTGCAGTGGGACCTCGAGCTCTGCTAGCGGGAGCTGCTGCTCTTCCATTGGGCTGCAATGGCCCCGAGCTCAGAGATGTCCCAAAAACTGGTGAAAAGGAGGGGTGACAGCTGAGGACAGCATTGTGCTGATGTAGCTCTGACCTGCTTGAGGGACCCCGGTGTCCAGACCAACTTGTACACCATGTAGACAGGGATGCAGATGAAGGAAGACGCTCCTATGAGGTGTCCCAGTGAGGTGCTCCATGCTGGGTACTGGTAGTCAAAAAGGGCCAGGGGTGGCTGCTCCAGAAGCGAGCTGGCCACAATGAACTGCAGAACCCACAGAGGGCAATCAGGAAGCAGCTCAAGGATGTGCTCCAGCACTGAGCAGCCCTGCTGGCTCTCTGCAGCTGTGGGTCAGCTGCAACACAAGGCTCAGAGCTGCACTCAGCAATCCTGCCTGGTTGTCAGCTCCAAGCTTTGCCCTGGAGCACAGCAGCAGGAGGGGCTGCGAAATGCACTACTCACTGCCAGCAGGGCAGGGCTGACGGCCACCCAGCACACCTTCCAGAACAGCCCTGGGGTGAAGCCCAGCATGGCTTTCACGTCATGGGAGAACCGCTGGATCCCTGCGGAGCACAGAGCCGTCATGGGGCAAGGCAGCTGCAGCCCATGGGCTCAGGCCTCATCTGGTTTCCAGGTCCCATCCCATTGCTAGATCCCATCCTGGTGCCTCTCTTACCATAGAACCAGGACACAGCTATGGTTTCCAGCAGCACCACGGCCAGGATGGAGCAGCCAGCACCAAACTCCTCCAGCAGCTTCACCACGTAGGCACCGCCCTGGAGCGAGATGGGTTGGTGGGATGGCACTGTGCTCACTGATGGGGCACAGCGCAGGCCAGCATCTTCCCCAGGCTGTACTCACGTAGGTGAGGGTGCTCAGCGAGCCCAGGAAGCAGACTGTGATGAGGCCGAGGACGAAGAGCTCCCTGCGCTGGGCCAGGACCTGGGGGTATTCATCCATCACGGCGGTGATCACGGCCTCCAGGCCCCCAAACTGCAAACAGAGCACAGGAATGAGACGGAATCTTCCCCTTGTTGTTGTGTCAGTGCTGCTGCAGAGGTTCCTACCGTGCTGTCCAGCCCCAGCGTTATCATCATCAGGAAGAAGATGATGGCGAAGAAGGTGGATCCCACCATGTTGGCGATGGCTTCGGGGTAGGTGATAAAAAGCAGGCTGGGACCTAGGAAGGCAGGTTGGTTTTGCCTTTCTTCTGGGTGCTGGCAAGCAGTGGGATTTCATAAAGTGTAGCAGTCCTGGCCTCACTGCCATCCATGCACCCCTGGGTGCACAGGGACATCCCAGCTCCAGCAGGGGCACCATGAGGCCAGACAAGATGGGGTTCTGAAGCAGTGGGGGGCAAACCTTTGTCTCTGGCTACATCCTCCACCTCCACATCCCGCATCTCAGCCATGTAGCCCAGCACAGTGAAGATGACAAAACCCGAGAGGAAGCTGGTGAGGCAGTTCACTGCACTGGTGATGAGTGCATCCCTGGAAGACAGAAGGCAGGGAGACGTGGCAAACGGCTGAGCCCTCCCTGCATGCCCACACCATCAGGGAAATGGGCAGCAGTGCTCAGCCCATGGCTGTGGTGCTCTGCTGCAGCTTCTCTGGCACAGCCTCCATGCCTGCACCGCATCTTGCAGCAGGTGCTCACCGGTAGCAGTTGTTGTGGAAGTGGTTGTAACTGGCCAGAGCGAGAAGAACACCGAATCCAGGACCCAGGGAGAAGAAAATCTGTGCAGCAGCATCAACCCAGACCTGGCAGAAGCAACAGGCAGCTGGAGGCTGGGTGGGTGCTCTGCGGTTTGCCCACCCCACAGCAGGCCCCCCTTGGCACAGGGATGCGCTAACCCTAACCCTGAATGCTGTGCCCAGGGGGAGAGGAAGCCAGAGGGAGCCTCAAACCTCTGTGCCAGGTCCAGGCAGCAGTGTGGCCCTGGTTATCTTTAATGAGAATTTTCAAGTGTTGCCTGGTAATTACCCACAGGAAGCCTATTGTCAAGCCAGGGCGAGAACACGGCTCGAACAAACCGCGGCAGCAATGAGATGGGTGATTCAATTATAGATTTACATTTCCAAGAGCCCAGCCAGGGCATTTCATCTCTACAAAAGCAGTGCACAGGGGTGGGTGCATGCTGTGGGAGGGTCTGTGTGCTCCTGGCCTCGGAGAGGGGAGCAGGGGAGGCAGAGATGGGGCACCTGCACTCACCGCTGTGCTCAGCAGCTTGCCCCAGTCTGGGCGCAAGTAGAAGAGGACCCCCCTCCAGGCTCCAGGCAGGGTGGCCCCGCGGACCAGCAGGATGAGCAGGACGAGGTAAGGCAGCGTGGCTGTCACCCACACCACCTACAGCAGGGGCAGCCATCAGCCATGGCACCGAGCACCCAACAACCTGGCTGCAGGGATGGGGAGGAGGCGATGCCCTAAGTTTAGCCAGGCAGGAGCTCAGGGTTGCAGCAGCATTGGCACGGGTTCCTCTTACCTTCCCAGAGGTTTTCACCCCTTTCCACAGGCTGAAGTAAACGATGGTGAAGATGAGGAAAAGGCAGAGGAGCAGCTGCCAGCGGATCCCCCCCACGTTGTACAGACCTCCGGACTTCTGAAGCTCCAGGACCTTCCTCCTATGTCCAGACAGGGTCTCAGGGTCTCATGATGCCCACGGGCAGTGGAACGTCTGCTGCCAGGCCCCCTATCCTGCTCCCTGCACTGCGAGACATACCCCAACTCCAGCTCACTGCCCACATGTGGACACTTACGTATAAAACTCCTCAGCTGGGGACCTGGAGAAGTTGGTCCAGGTCACGTTGTTCCTCCCAAAGTAGTTGGTGCAGTTGGGTGTGTTCCAGGGGTTGTCACAGCTCGCCCAGGGCAGGGTGCCCGAGAAGGATGAGTAGAAGTAATAGAGAGCCCAAGCGATGATGGTGTTGTAGTAGAAGGAGACGTAGAGGCCAATGATGCAGATGGCAAAACCGATGCCTGTGGAGAGAGAGGGACAGGTGGGAAAGCTGGGCCTGTGCCCTGCGTGGGGCTGGTGGTGTTTCATAGGGCTGCTGGTCCTGTGTGGGGCTGGTAGTGGTTCTGCATGAAGCTGGGTCTCACTCACCTTTGAAGATGGGGCAGATGTGCTTCCAGATGGGAATGGCGCCCGTCCTGTGGAACTGCCCCAGGGCCAGCTCCATGTAGAAGAGGGGCACCCCTCCAAAAACAGCCATCAGCGTGTATGGGATGAGAAAGGCTCCTGTGGGGTAAGGAGCAGAGTGGGGTGACTGCTGCAACCCTGTACCAGGCGGTGAGCGTGCACAGGGATGTGTCATGAAGCATGGATGAGCATTTGGATGCACGCAGGCTTTGGGATGCCCTGCAGCAAGCAGCTCACAGGTGGGTGCGTTGCTGGGAACGCTCAGGCAGGCTGATGCAATGAGCAGAACAAGGCAGACACAGGGGATGAGGCACTGTGCACCTCTTAGGTCTCAGATTTTAGGGGAAATCTCACTGATTGTCACCCCGAGATACAAGTAATTAACGCTGTCGTCTACATTATTCATGCTTGCAGTGCTTTTAGCAGAGCTGTGCTGCACCCAGTGGACTTTTTGGAAGTGGAGCTGCTCTCTGTGCTGTCGGGATAGCTCAGCTGGGGGCAGTTAATTGAACCCCCACAGCTTCTCTCTGTGAGAGCCTCCACGCACCGGGGGCATCACATCCCTGCTGCCCTGCCCTCATGGCAAGGTGCTGCCAGCCCTGCAGGCTCATCCTGGCTGGGAGTCCATCCCTCCCTCTATGGAGCTGCTGCCCGAGCCCAGCTCCCCACCCAGAGCCCACAGCTCCCTCTGCATTGATGGAGAGCAGCTCCAGCAGAAGTTCACTGGCCGTCCCACAGGATTAAGGCACAAATAACTGCTTCCGTGGGGGCACCTGGGATCCACGCTGTAGCCTTGAGTGTGGTACTAATTATCTCCTGCTAATTTCCCCAAGCTTGAGAAGATGTTACCCGAATGCCGACTTTGGCAATTAAATCCACTGTGCTGTTGCAAACGGCACAGAATTCTCATTCCTCATTTATAATTTCTATGCAAGAGTTGTTTATTATTATTATTATTATTATTATTCGGCTCTATTTAAAGCAACTTATTTAGCCATCATTTACTGAAGACGTTTCCTTCATGGAGCTTTTCTATCTTCTGCTAGCTCCATGGGAGGGAGCACCCATGTTGCACAGAGGGCTGTGCTCATGGATCAGGGCTCACACTGCATCCAGCACCACGGCTGCATGGAGCTGAGACCGAAGGTGTCTGCAGGGTTATTCAAGGCACTGCCTGCCAGAGGTTTGCTTGCACTCAGGGATAAGACCAGCGAGAGCCTCCCACCCCAAACATGCAGCTCCATCACTGCGGACTGGCGCAGGGTACGGAGAGAAGAGAGGTGAGGAAAAGTGGGGAGAAGTGGAGCTGCCCTCTGCCAAGAGGAGCAGCTAGAGACAAACAGAGAAAAGCAACAGCGAGTTCTCAGCATCCCAAAGCCCACAAACAGCTTTCTGCTCCCCCAGTGCAGCAACCCCAGCACTGTCCTTACCCCCTCCGTTCTGGTAGCAGATGTAAGGGAAGCGCCACACGTTGCCCAGATCGACGGCAAACCCGACGACTGAGAGGAGGAAATCCATTTTCTTGCTCCACTTGTCCCGGGGGTGGGCTGGGGGCACAGGGGTGGCTCCGGGACCCCCGTCGTGTTGAGGGGGGCCAGCAGGCACCGGGCAGCGCTCCCCCATTCTGTGCCCCTGCGAGTTCTGCAGGGTTGGGTGAGCAACTTGGGGAGGGAAGAATGGATTTTTCTCCATCTGATGACAGATCTGAGGAGGGGAGGGTCCGGCTGCCTACGTGTCCCCACCTCCAGCTGGGAACCCATGGCTCCAATGGGGAGAGCCGTGCTTTGATCAGTGCAGAAGGAGTGGGGAGGCTCACAGCTCCATCCCCTGCTCCTTGCATCCAGGGGACGTTTTGCTGTCGGGGTGGGGTTTTTTTTTTGCACAGATGTGGGGTTAAGGCAGAGGTGGTGGTTTGGTTCTGCACCCTTTCAGTGCAACATTATTTTTTCGTCTTTGGTGCAATTTGCAGGCCGGAGGCACCTCCACCTGCTGCCACAGTCAGCGACGCTTTGAGATCTGGGGGTGCGAGTGGTTGTACCACTGGAAAGTGGAATAACTTCTGCAGCCCACAAGCTATCGGGAGGGAATGGTGTGGTACAGAGAACCATCGCTCTCTTCCATTTGGCAGTTCAACAGCAAACTTCACTGCAAACAAAACAGGCAGCTCCCTGCATTGCGCCCTGCTCAGCTAAGCCCTGCAGGAGGCTGTGGGCACTCCAGACCGTGCGTGTTCCAGGCACCCCTCATCTGTAATTAAAAGAAACTACAAACGAGATCAAAATGGGACACGGACGGCAGGTTGCTGTGACGACGTGACGCCAGCTGGAGTCCTCTGGACATGAATGGTGCTGCAGCATGTGCATGGGGACCTGCTGGAGATGCCCCATTAAAGTACCACGTTTGCTGTTGCTGCACAGGGCTGAATGCCTCTCAGGCACCAAGGCTCCCCAGCAGGGGCTCATCATGCAGGTGAGAGCCAACTAATCCCCCCATGGGTTTATAGGAGATCTGTGTCACTCAAAGCTGTGAATTCCAGCAGCACCTCCTATAACGTGGGTGTGGGTATTGAACCCATCAGCGACCAAAGCCAAGAGGTGCTCGGCTGCCGGGTGCTCTGTGTCTCCCTGGGGATGGCTGTGTCTGAGCAGAGTGCCGGGGCTTCATCCCACAGGCAGTCCTCCCTGTGAGTGACAGCAGTGACAGCATTGGTGTCATAGCAACCAAACCAGCAGCTCTTTTTCTGCAGCTGACCCTTATTTTCTCCAGGGGGTCTCGTTGCCACAGATCCTGTTGGTGATGCCAACGCTCTGCTCCTGAGCTGCAATTGCAGGGCCCCGCTGCCGGCCCCACCTGCCCCCAGGCACCTGCTGTCAATTCCATGCAGAGCGGGCTCTGAGATCCCCATTGCTTTGAGAAACTTCCCCAGAGCTCTCCTTATTCTGGTCTCAGTTCTCCACTCCTGCTGTCCATGCCTGCGTGTGTTACCCTGCGCCATAGGATCACAGCTGGCATTGGAAGGGACCCTCAAAGACCAGCTGGTCCTTTCTCATGCAGCAAACAGGGACACCCAGAGCTCCATCATGAAGGTCCGTGGGCATCCTGATCTGATGGATGGCCACCAGCCCTCAGCAGCAGGTTGGGATCGCTCAGAATTTCAAGTCCTCTCCATCCCAAACCATTCTCTGATTCCACAGCAGTTGAGGGGGCAGCTGCATCCAAATCACTTCAGATTCAGAACGCACTGTTGAAACGTAGCTGAAATCAGATTTAAATCTGAATTTCCACCGAGTTAGAAGAGTTTCTGAAGAGCGCACTGATCTGATTATCCAACCTGCTTCCCCATGCCCTGAAATGCAGAGAGGTGAATTGTGGTCTTAAAACCACCATTCTGTTTAAGCCGCAGAGGCAGCAGTGGGAAGTTTAATTTAATTAGCATGATACGCAGAGATGTAACTTAATCACATTAAGGGTAGCTCGACGTGCTCCTGCTCCAGCTCTCCAGACTCCAGAAACCTGGGGCCAACCCCATTCTATCCATGCTTTACGAGGTGCTGCTTTATGAGGCTGTGATGCCTTCATTGTGAGTGTTTATTAGCCTGCCTTAATTGCCTGTTCAGCACCGTAGGACATAAAGAAAAGACGGGCAGAGCAGCACAGCTGTGTGCCACCTGCATGGGTAAGGCAGGGGTCCCTGGCCCCCCTGGTGCCATCTGCCTTTGTTAGGGCATTTAGCAACTGAATTAATGGCAAAAAACAAACGCTGCAGGAGGAAATAGCGTTCCTCTACGACCCGTTACGGCACAGAGATCCTCCCTGTGCAAAAGGCAAATTGCAGGGATGAGTTCTGCATTACTCTCAGCCTGCAGCTCGCTCGTTCTGCCCCGTGCTAATGTGGTTTGTGGTTAGTGGAAACCGGACTGCTGAGGAGCCAGGATGCTGTTTCTATGGAAATGTCCTGGAACATCAAACGAGGGAGCAGAAAAACAGAAAATATGTTAATAAGAGCTGCGAGCCAGGGCTTGCGCTGAACTGTTTGCAATCTTGATTCCAGGCGTCTCCGGGTCTCCCGCGAATAGGGCTTTGCTGCTCGTTATCTCCTTCTCGGTGCAGAACGCCAACGGGAGCGCGGTGGGCGGGCGGGGCTGTGCGGGGCTGCGCGGGGCTGTGCGGGGAGAGGGCTTTGCCACATGGCCCAGAACACGAGGCACGGCCCCGTCTCCGTGTCACTCAGCCCCGTGGGTCGCTGCCCTGGCGCACACCGGGCCTGGGGCTGCTTGGTGGGAGGTTTCCCCAAATGCGGGAGATGATGTGGATGGTGGGGATGGTGATCTTCGGAGAGCCGCAGGAACGGGGCCACGCTGCTCAGGGGACAAACAGCACCGCCGTCCCCACGGAAGGGATGAGCCCTGCGGAGGGCACGGCTCTGCCGGCCGTCACCGCACCGCACGGCCGGGCCGGGCTCGCACGGAGCCCCGCTCCACCGACGGCCGTCCCCGGGCGGTGCGCTCGGATTGGCGGCGCTCCCGGCCTCGGCTCCACCCCGGCGGGCGCGGTGGGCGGTGCGGACCCGATCGGCCCGGCCCGGCCCTCCGCCACTCTGCGGGCGCTGCGGAGCGCGGCTATGGCGGCGGCCCCGGCGGGTAGGGAAGGGCTGGGATGGGATTGGGGGCGGTGGCGGCGGTGGGTCGGGGGGCTGCGGGGCCGGGCCGCGCTAACGGGGCTCTCCTCTTCTCCCCACAGAAGCGGAGACCCGGCAGCGGTTGCTGCGCACCGTCAAGAAGGAGGTGGGTGCGGGGATGCCGTCCCACTGCCGTGCCCCGGCCGGTCGTTCCGCTCGTGGGTGCGGGCGCAGCGCCGGGCGGTGCCGCCCTCGGGCAACGGGAACTCGGCGGTCCGGCCGTGCGCCGCGGTGGGGTTGGGGGGCGGCCGTTCCCCGCGTGGGACACGTTGCGGAGACCCGGTGTGCCGCGGAGAACCGAGAGCATCCCTGGCCGCGGGCTGAGCCTGCAGGCCGGCTGTGCCGGGCGCTGGGTGCGTGCGGTGTTCTGTCCGTGAGCATCTGCGTGTATCCACGGTGGGTTCGGGGAAGCGGTGCTTCTCCTGGGAGCGAGCGGGGATGCTGACAGCGCTGCGTTTGTTCATCCAGACCCCTTCCCCACCTTTAATCCCGCGCCGGGCGTGGTGGCGAGCAATGCTACTCGTTGCCTTGACGACAGATATTAAACCAGCGAAAGGCTGTGACATTTCTTTAGCATCGTGGATGAAGCCGACATCTCGTTATTGCCGTCTGCCTGCGGCTCCTCCCGAGGCTGCAGGTGGGGATGGGGCTGCTGGGTGCACGGCTGGAGGAGGAGGAGGACGGAGCTTCTTTCTAAAGCCTGCTGGGCCTCAGTGGGCACTACTGATCTCCAGGAGCATCTTCCATGCTGGCAGCCGGTGCTGGGCTTCTCTCTGTGCACACGCTCTCTCTGTCTCTCCAGGGTCCCAATGTTTGAGGAAAGTGCCTAAAGGAGGAGTGCTGAGGGCTGTAATGTGCCCTTCTGGTAGCACAGGAGAGCTGTCTGCTGGCTCTTAATGGATCAGCTGTGCTGCACGGGTGGTTGGTGAATTCAGGTGGAGGTGAAGGAGTGAGGTAGGGCATGGGAAGAGCCTTTCTGCCCTGCTGAAATGCCACCAGTCCATGTGTCACTGTGTGACAACTACATCAGCAGGTGCCTCATAGCTGCCCTGTAGGGAGGGCAGTGCTGATGCAGAACAGTTTTCATAAAATCATAGAATGGCTTAAGTTGGAGGGGACCTTAAAGGTCAAGCAGTTCCCATTGCCATGGGCTGGGTGCTCCTCACCAAAACTCAGGCTGCCTTTAATACTCCAGGGATGAAGTGCCCACAGCCTCTCCCCCTGGGCAGTCTCACTGCTCTGGGCTCAGCTGCTGCTTTGCCACACAGCTGTGCTTGCCCCAGATTTTCTCCCAGCACTGTGCTGCTGCCCTTGGCCCTGCAGGCAGGGCTGTTTGCATGCAGGCACACAGGTGCAGGGGTTCCATGTCAGACCCGTGCTCTGCATTCTTTGCTCTGTTAGGATTTAAAGAAAAAAAAAACAACAACCCACAAACAGGAAATGTGGTTCTGTAGGTTATGTATGGAGCTGCAGCTTGGAGTGGTGGGGCGTTCTGTTGCCCATTCTCTGCTTGTTAAGCCCATTTTACACACACTTTTGCTGTTTTATTTTCGTTTTCTTGCCCTTTTTTAGACTGACTTCAGGCTGAGTTGGGAGCCTGTGCAGCTTTTGGAGCAGTGCTAGGAAGTGCCAACTGCAGAAACCCTTCTTTTCTTTTCCCACCCCTTGCATTCTCACCCTTCACACAACTCCATATTCCCATCCCATCGCACCAAGCCTGCTTTGCGTGCCCTCAGCTGTGGCGTTTTGGAATCTGATGGTGTTCCCATGTGCCATTGAGCTCCACTGGGACTGGGAACAGCCACAGAGCACACTGGGGAAGCCACGCCACATCTGTAGCCCTGGGGCAACAGCAGAAGGAATAACAACATCGTGCAGGCAATGCCTGATGAGAGGAGATGGGTAAACAGTAGAGGGAATTGTCCATAGCATTACAGTGAGCAAA